CAGTTGGGCACTTTGGTTGTAGTATTCTAGCTGAGGCAGTTTGTACAATTTTACCTCTTTTGCATCTTTTCTTTTAGTACTTCTCCTTTTTAGGTTTGTCTGCCTAAAATTGTGGTAGAACATCCGGCTTAGTATGTAAATGTCTCACTTATATTTTAGTCTGGCAACTAATCCCATATACTTACTTGCCAGTCAAATCTGAGCATCTTAGTGAATGCTCTGCTGGGACCTGGGCCAGGAAGCCGAGAATGGAAGCAGCTGAGATTAGGCAGAAAAACATGAATTCAGGGGAAGAATGATGACCGTATGTTACACTGGTGACTAGGCAAGGAAAACAGTGTGTAAGAAGTGAAGGGGGGGGTGTATTTAAATTAGAGTAGAGTTGTTCCCTGAAGGAGTTTCAGGTGACTGGTCAACTGAAACTGGTCAAGTTACAACTGGAATTGCGCTGCCTTTGTCATGGTTAGTATGTTGTTAAGAGTTACCTGTGAGTGCTCCTCTCCCCGTGATACTAATTAGTACATTAAGAGCTGTCTGTAAAAGAAACTACTTTACATTGAATGACTGCTGTAGGTATTTTTTTTTTTTTGTAAAATATTATAGATAGCCCATGCAGTCAACTGTGAAGTGATTTGTAATGCTTCATGAATCACTGTATCTGAGGTAAGTTGGTGAGACTACATAGCAATTTATCCTCAATTTAGACCCAAGCAGTGTCCTCACTAAGGTCCCTGTAGCCATGTAAATTCTACATTGTGTTTGAGATGGGAGAAGGGCTGATTTGGAGAAAATATAGAAAGTAGTGTCCCGGGCTCCTGTGGCTCTAATCCATGGTATTACAGCTTGACAGACAAGATTAAATACTTGGCCCTGGCCGGTTTGGCTCAGCGGTTGGAGCGTCGGCCTGCGGTACAGAGAGACCCGGGTTCGGTTCCCGCTAAGGGCACGTACCTCTGTTGCAGTTTGTCCCCGACCCTGGTTGGGTCGTGTGGGTGGCAACCACTCGATGTGTCCCTTTCACATTGATGTTTCTCTCTCTCTCTCTCCCTCTCTCTCCCTCCCGCTCTATCTGAACAAAAAATGGAAAAATGTCCTCGGGTGAGGATAAAAAAAAAAAGAAGAACAAAGCATTATTTTCAGTGACTCCTTAAAATCATCTGAGTTTATAGGATACCACATTGGCTGCTATATTAGGTCAATCTTCAAAAAATAATAAAGAACCACAGAGGAACTGCTTCCAAACTTTTCCATTGTCTCTTCCATTTCTCTCCTGCTTCATCTCTCACCCACCACTCTCCACACACATCACACCAACACTGACACACCTTCATTTTAAATCTATTAACTATATATGTCTGCACTGCTCCTGAATGTTCTCACCTCTGTGCCTCCTAATACTCAGTACACTCTGCTTAGGACAGTTTCTTCCCTGTTTTCCACTGGTGGTTCATCCTTCAAGTCTGAACTTAATCGTCACTTCTTAAATTTAGGAGCACAGCATTGATTCCATAAGCCTCTGTATCAGGCTAGGCTACAATAATAAACAACCCCAAAATTTCAGTGGCTTTATACAACAGAGTTTATTTCTTGCTCACAGTACATGTCCATCAAGGCTCAGAGGGAGAGTTCTCTGCTCATTGTAGTTTCTCAGAGACTCAAGCTAGTAGATAGCAGAGGCTCCTTCTTATATGTGATTCCATAATAGCCAAGGCAGAATAAAGGAAGTATGGTGAATCATACAGTGACTCTTAAAGTTCCTTCCAGAAAATGACACATTTCCACTCACATTTCATTAACCAAAGCAAACCCCATAATCATCCTTAATGTGAGAAAGGGTAAAGAAGCACAGTCTACCACGTGCCAGAAAGAGAACCAGGATTTGTATCGGTATCCCCTATGACTACCACAGCTCCCTTGCTCTGTACCACCATAGCATCTTGTATTTCTTCCAGCATGATAATGTCATGCTTATTATAGATACATGTGACCTGCTTCCCCCACTCTAAGTTTTGTGAAGGTGGGATCATGTTTGTCTTATTCATTACTCTCTTTATTGCTTTCATTAATGTTTGACACATAATAGGAATTTTAAAAATATTTGTTGAATGAATGAATAGTGTATCACTCCAGGATTCAGCCCTTACCTCTTTATTCTTCTGCTTCTACCATTTCTCCTTGAAGATCTCGTTCCCTCTCAGGGTTTTATCAGTCACTGCCTTGAAGATGCTCTCCTACCCTGAATTCAATTATACATCTCCAACTACTTAACTTGATATTTCTACTTGAATTTAACATGCTTAAATTTATTCTTTTAGTAAATATTTATTGATTATTTTCTGGTAAAACATCATATTAAGTGATGTGAGGACACGGAGGTCATTAAGAGTACTTGCCACCCAAGGCTTGCAGAGGAAAATACAGTACATCCATCGTATATACACAATATGCAAAATGCTATACTCAAGGAGAAGAGAAACAAATGGTTTGTGACAAGATGGATTTAGAACTTGTGTTGTTTCAACCACTGACTTCACTGAGCAAATAATCATTACTAAATACTGTTTTGTGCCAGGTACTAGAGAATCTTACAGTAACTCTTAAAGCTCCTTCCAGAAAACAATACATTTTATCATTTTTATCTACCTCTCACAATCCAGTGGGGAGACAGCTAGCTAAGGATGAAAGGGCAGATGGGATGGTGACACGGTGTGGGAGAATTGACTGAGGGTGCAGGGAATGGTGCAGAGGAAAGCACAGAGCTCTTCTTTCTAGCATGCTTTCTGTTATGCATGCATGCAGCAAACATGGATTAAGTACCAGTGAGGTAGCAGACCCTGGAGACATTATACTGGGAAGACAGTCCCTACCTTATAGAACTTAATGTGCTGGGGAGGAACTTACCATCTAGATTGTTAACATGCTTTGTTTTGCTTTTGTTTTTGTTGTTTTTTGTGGGGTTTTTGTTTTGTTTTGTTTTTCATCTTTGAGGGTGACTTTTAAGCATGGAAAAGACCATATGTAGCCCTAGCCAGTGTCGCTCAGTTGTTTGGAAAATCCCGAACTCCAAAAGGTGGCGGGTTTGGTTCCCAGTCAGGGCACATACCCAGGTTGCAGGTTTGATCCCCATCGATGTTTGTCGCTCATGTTGATGCCTGTTTCTGTCTCACATTGATGTTTGTTTCTCTCTCACATCAGTGTTTCTTTCTCTTTTCTCTCTCAAAATCAATTAAAAATAAATTTTAAAAAAAGACCATCTGTAGCTAATTTGGGGTCTAAAAAATTAAAATTCAACATATCAAAATTATATCATGTAAGACAACACAAAAGTGAACAAACTTTTAAAAAGTTTACTTTCATCTCATTCTATTTGTAAGTCTAGAAAAATTTAGCAGTTACTTAAAAAGGGACTTTTACAGTTTAATTAAATTTTTTTAAATATCTTAAACTATATTTCTGCATTTAAAATATCTTATTTTCTCTTTGAAGTACCTTAGTTGTTTGTCGAACAAAAACATTCTAAATTTCACATAAGTGTATAATTACATTTATTTAATAATAAATTAAATTAAAACATAAGTATAGTTAATCTTAGATTATCTTTACCATTTGTAAGACTATTAAAGTTATCTTTTACCTTCCAACATAAAATTAATTATTCAATTGCATATTTTAAATTGAACTAGCAAGGCTAATCTAGTAATCTAATATGATAAATGTTCTTAATTGTTACAAATACTTTAAAGACCAAGTATACACAAGTTGTCTTTAAAATTAGTATAAAAATATTAATATTATAGGTTTGACTTACTTTATTTCTATACCTAAATCTTTTTTTTTTTTTTTTTTTTTTGGTTAATCCTCACCCAAGGATATTTTTCCATTGATTTTTGATAGAGTGGGGAGGAGCCAGGACACATCAATATGAGAAAGACACATTGATTAGTTGCCTCCAGCATGACCCCGACCGAGGCGGGGATTGAGCCTTGACTAGGGATCGCACCAGTGAGGGGTCTAACCCCTGAACCTAACAGGCCAGGGTTATACATAATTGTTAATCTTGTATAGTTAAAAGATACCTGCTAAGGAATGTTATGTCACCCCAAGAAAGATGGAAGGGAGGGTTACCATCTTGGTGCACTGAAATAGGTTACTTATAAACCAGAGAGATTGGGGTGGGGTGTAGGAATTAATTTTACATATGACACCAGTGGGATGCACTGAGCCCCAGTTATAGTTGCTGGAGAAGAAACCCCCAACGTTTATAAAAAGGCTGGTCTCAAGGCCTTGGGTGCTTATATTCAGTTTATACATAAGTTGATTCTTCTATCTGGCTTGAAATTGCTATATACTTATCAGGATGTAACTTTCCTTCCTGCTTGGTTTAATTTCGATTTATTTGGCTTTCATAAGACAGTGTACTATTTATTATCTTTTATAGGGTTTTAAAGGTAAAACCAGATCTATCTGATCCTTTATACTTCGATTGTTTTTTAAACACATTGACCATTATGGTCTGATTTGAGTTGACAGGCTTCTGTTCTTTCAATGTTATTCCTCCTTAATAGGGTCACAGCTCTTACAGATAATAAAATGACACCCAATTTTATTCTGCATATTCATTGTGGCTTCATCTGGTTCTTGAGTCACAACACTGACGTCATGCTTCTTACCTAGATAGGAGAGACCTTTGTGATACATTTGATGAAATTGTCTGTTCTCAACATCACAGGTAGGAAGGACCTAGCTATGATCCAATTGTATCATCTTGGGCAAGTCATTTAACTGCTTTGGGCCTCGATTTTTTCATTCTTAAAATGCAAGAACTCTTTTAGTTCTAAAATCCTATTATCTTTTAAATTCTAATTTAGTGTAGTCTGAAATATTGTGTGTTACTGTGCTTTGCTTAGGCATTGCTCAAGAATTAACTAAATTTTATCTTCTTGGAAATTGTCACAATTATGGTGAGCAGTGAAATGATAAGTGGTTTTGCTTTCTTCCAGATCTTCGATGATGCATACAAATCCCAGCTCAGTTGTGTAGTTGTGGATGACATTGAGAGACTGCTTGGTGAGTCATAGCATTTGCTATTGTACTATCTTTGCCACATTATAGCCAGTCTCACAAATTATAGGAGAAAAATAATGGGTATTTATAAACTATAAGGCAACAGAAATACATGTCCTTGTCTTATAATGAAATAAAACATTCTCTCTTCTCTCTCTAGTCAATGACAGTATTCATGTTAAGTATTCCTTATGACTATAACTCCATTATAAGCTGCTTCCTTGTAAGGACTCCTGCCTCATAATATTTTGTATCTTCTACAGAGTTCCTTGCCCATAATAAATGATTAGTAATTTTTGTTGACAGATATATTTACTGCCTGTAGCTCAGAGGTTCCACTTACGAACTTCGACAGAACTAATGAAAGAAGGGTTTACGATCAGAATAAGGTAACACTTAGGGCAGAAGCTGCAAGGTCTCTAAACTTCGGTTTCTGCTCTTATAAAACAGAAGCTGTATCCCTTCCTTACTTATCCCATAGAGTAATTGTGAAGACAAAAATGGTATAATAATGTTTAAAACATTCTGAAAGTTAAAAGTGCTATATAGTAATTATTTTAAATCTTTATTAAACATCTCCTATGTTTAAGTGAACTCCTACAGAATATAGAGATGAGTAAGACAGTCTCTGTACTCAACTCAAGATGTAATCTACAAATAAATTCCAGAAAAGTGTTACTCTTACATTTTATTTCATTGCAAAAATTAAATAAATCTGTAATAAACTTATAATAACAATGTTCAGGGTGTTGTAATAAATTCTGTTGAAATTGAACCCACCTGGTGACTTAATAAACCTCTAAAAATACTATCTAATACCTGATCAATCCCTTCTGCCATAAGCTAGCCATACTGGTGTAGTAATGATTTCAAGTTAACTGTTCTGGCTATATTTTCCCCATGATTTTTAATCCTCTGTTACTTATTTTCCTGTTTCCTAAGGCAATGTTTGTTATAAAGCAAAGCAGATATAGCTGTGAGATCTTTTTAAATTGATAGCTTTATCTAGTGACCTGGGTTTTTGGTCTGCTATTTTTGATATATTTTAGCCCAGTTTATAGGATTATTTCTTTAAAAGCTTTTAGGCACATACTCATAGCTCTGCGTAAATTCCTTTATCTAAACACAATTGAGATGTGTGGTCATAGCAACACTACTATGTCAGGAATGTGTGCCCTCTGAGTATATTTTCACTTATATGAAGTTATTATCTGTACGTGTTTGTTCATTTCTTCAACAAGCATTTGCTGAGCCCTACTGTGCTACAATTATTAGGTTTCAGAAAAATAGGATGCTGTCTGTTGTTATAACATATATTGGCAAAAATTAATGCAAAGTAGAATGTGCCATTGTTCTAGATAATCAGAAAAGGCAGGGAATCACTTTTGACTTCAGAGGGCTGATGCCTGAAGGTAGCTCTAAGCACAGGGCAAGGGTGAGTATACAATATGCAGAGATAGCTAAGGAGGTGGCATTTGTGCAAAATCAGTTTAACAGGTGGGAAGTTCTTTTAGAATGTTCTTTGTTCTTCACCATCTAGGACCAATCTTAGTGGCTCTAACATCTTTTCAGTTATATCAAAGTACCTTTCTTACATTATTTTTAGTTGCCATTTTCCCTTCTACCCATTTTCTAGCATGGTGTTTTGTTGCCTGTGTACTTACTGTATTGTCATAGTTGACAGTAATTTCTCGGAAATGCTTAGTAAGTACATGTGGGGTTTTTTCTCCCTTAGAAGAAACTTGTCTCTGAATATGTCTACATGAACTCAAAATGTATATTTAGAAGCTTTTAAAAAAAATTTAAAGATAAGACTTGTTATATAACATTTTATGCATTCAAGTTATTGAAGATATTTATTTCTTATTATCATTAGTTGCATGACTGTTTTTAGAACTGTGTTTGCTCTTGATGTAGAAAAATCTCAATGTTTGGATTATGTGCATATGTACATCAAATCCCTAAACACAGTAATGTTTCTCTTCCAGATTATGTCCCTATTGGCCCTCGATTTTCTAATCTGGTACTACAGGCTCTTCTTGTGTTGCTGAAAAAGGCTCCTCCTCAGGTAAACATAACATAAGGAACATCTATACAGCTTTTCCAATAAATTGCATATAATGGTGTACTCCCTCTAAATAAGCAGCTTATAAACATACAAAATTCTGTTGAGAGATTATGAAAGGTCATCTGGTCTAGCTTGAGGTAAATTATTTTCTTAACAATCAGAGAAATTTTTCATTCCTTTTCTGAAGATTTCAAAATCCCATAGTTTCAGTTGGTATTCTGTTTTGTTTTTTAAGTTCCCCATCGTATAACTTATCTTTACCCTCCTTCATCTCCTATGAAAGATAATGATATTAATGTGGAAGGGATTAAATACATGTTATCAAGAATTTTTATTTGGGGAAATTTATTTCCTATAGGCAGATTTATTTTTTTTCAATTTTACAAATGAATTTGAGTTATTTCTCTTGTGGCATGTGGCATATTTAAGGAGTGATTTTTTTAGCCAGGGTCTTGGTTCATGTGGTTGCATTTTCACCGATGTGGCTATTGGAAAGTGGTGATTTTGATAGCTTAACACATTTAAAACTAACCTATAAGGGATGGTTAAATATGTTAATTATGTAGAGGCTGCCAGAGCATGTTTGGCTGTGACACAAGATACAAATTCTCTTGATTGATTCTGTGTGCTGTAACCTCGAAGAAATGCCAATCAAAGGCAGATACAAAGGGGTTGAGTACTAACCTGAAAAACATCTTAATGTCTCTATGGGAATCTTGCGTTTATTAGAGATATAAACTAAACTGTATGGAAATTATTTAATATTAAGCTGGTTAATTTTAATGTAATAGTTAAAATTGTGTGTGTGTGTGTGTGTGTGTGTGTTACACCTAAAGGAAATGACTTGTCTTGATTTTTTTAGGTATTTTTGTTTTTTTATTTTAATTCCTGGAATAGTAAAAGAAACACCTACAGTAACTGAAATTTTATTGCATATTTGCATTGTGAAAGGATTTTTTAAAATCATCTTTCCATAAACTATCATTCCCAATAATTAGAGTTTTAGCTTATACTTAGGCTGAAGTTAGAGAAGTGAGAATATTTTTTCCTTCTCTGATTTCTTCAATAACTATATAAATAGATACATTCAGAGTTGCTAGACCAACAACAGCAAGAAAAATAACCCCAATATCTAAATATATCATATACCAAAAAATCCTTCTTTATGGAATCAGCATTTTAAAAATTAGGAGATTAGGAGACTTTTTCCAGGTATTTAAATTTATTTATTATAATATTTGTTTTTTTACCTAAAAAGAATTTATGGTAAAAATCATTTGGGAGAAAGAAGAATAATTTTTCAAACTGCTTGTCCTTTGCATTATTAAATACTATACACCTAGCTGAGAATTATTTGTAATCCAAAATAGACACTAATAGAAATAAATAGGATATTAACAAATGACCTGCAATATTTTAAAAATTATTTATTTCTTTAATCCTCACCCAAGGACCTGCTTAGAGACAGGAAGGGAGAGAAAGAGAAACTGATCAGTTGCTTTCTATATGTACTCCAACTGAGGATCGAACCCACAACCCAGGCATGTGCCATGACCAGGAATCAACCAGCAACCTTTTGGTGCACAGGACGACACTCAACCAACTGAGCCACTCTGGCCAGGCACCTGCAACATTTTTAGTAAATACTTAGGAATAACTGTTTCTGTTTTGTAAATAATTGTAAGATTCTTAAGGAAAGGAACATTATCTTATGCTATTCAAAAAATATATATTTTTAGCTGGGCTACTGTGGCTCAGGGGATTGAGTGTTGTCCCGTGTACTGATAGGTCCCGGTTCCATTCCCAGTCAGGGCACATGCCTGGGTTCTGGGCTTGATCCCCAGTAGGGGGCGTGCAGGAGGCAGCTGATTGATGTTTCTCATATCCATGTTTCTTCCTTTCTGTCTAAAAATTCAATAGAAACATATTTAAAATATATATATATATACACACACACACACATACACATTTTTAGTGTCCTCTCATTTTGGTGGGATTAACTATTTTACTGTTGCTGTAGTTCATATTTGGCAGGGCATGATTAAAGTGAAAAAATTAAAAAACGAGTAAAGTTCCAATGTCCAGCAAGCACATGAAAAGATACTCAGCATCATTAGCCATCAGAAAAATGCAAATCAAAGCCACAGTAATATCCCACTTCATACCCACTAGTACAGCTGTAATAAAAACATCAGATAATAACAAGTGCATATGGAAACTGGAACCCTTGTCCTTGTACACTGCCGTTGGGTTATAAAAATTGTGTGGCCTTTGGAAACTGTCTAGCGGTTCCTCAGAAGGTTAAACATAGTTACCATATGACCAAGCAATTCTACTTCTAAATATATACCCCAAAGAAATGAAAGTATGCCCTGGCTAGTTTGGCTCAGCGGTTAGAGTGTCGGACTGCGGTCCAGAGAGACCCGGGTTCGGTTCCCACTAAGGGCACATACCTTGGTTGCAGTTTGTCCCCGGCCCTGGTTGGGTCATGCGGGTGGCAGCCACTCGATGTGGCCCTTTCACGTCAATGTTTCTCTCTCTCTTTCTCTCCCTTCCACTCTATCTAAACAAAAAATGTCCTCGGGTGAGGATTAAAAAATAAAATAAAATAAAAAGAAATGAAAGTATATGCCACACAAAAGCTTGTACATGAATGTTCATAGAAGCATTATTCATAACATCCCAAAAATGGAAAGGACCCAAATGTTCATCAAACAGAATAAAATGTGGTATATACAGTACATACAGTGGAATATTATTCAGCAATGCAGAGAAATAAGTGCTGATGCATGCTACAACACGGATGAGCCTTGAAAACATTATGCTAAGGGAAAGAAGCCAGTTACAAAAGACCACATACAGTGATACCTCGGTTCTCGAACATAATTCGTTCCAGGAGGACGGTCGAGAACCAAATTGTTCGAGAACTGAAGCAATGAAACCCAATAGGAAATAATGGAACCTGGATTAATTCGTTCCAAGCCCCAGAAAATGCCTATTTACTGGCCTAATTTGTATATAATATGTAGAAAAACATAAGTCTCAACAAGAAATAAAAGTGTACAGTATGTCTAAGGGTTAAATTCAGTGTAAAGCGTGACTCTCTCCACAAAGCGTGACTCTCTCTCTGCACTCACACTGATGACGCAAGCAAGGTGCACTGGGCCGAATGAACGCCATTCGGCTCAACTCGGCTCATCTCGGAAGTTCGAGTTCCAAATATTTGTTCGGATTCCAAGACAAAAGTTTCTCGAATCTCCTGGTCGAATACCGATTTGGTCGAAATCCGAGGCGTTCGAGAACCGAGGTATCACTGTAGTATATGATTCTATTTCTATGAAATGTCCAGAATTGCAAATCTATAGGGACAGAAAGTAGATTTGTGAGTGGTTTTCTAGAACTGGGAGGGCTGGGTAGGGAGGATAAGAGGTGACTGCTAATTGGTATGGGCTTTCTTTTTGTGTGAAGAAAATGTTCTAAAATTGACTGTGGTGGTGATTTCACATATCTGCGCATATGCTAAAAACCACTGAATTGTACACTTTATTTTTTATTTTTATTTTTTATCCTCACCCGAGGACATTTTTCCATTTTTTGTTCAGATAGAGTGGGAGAGAGAGAGAGAGGAAGAGTGAGAGAGAAACATCGACGTGAAAGGGACACATCGAGTGGCTGCCACCCGCACAACCAACCAGGGCCCGGGACAAACTGCAACCAAGGTACATGCCCTTAGCGGGAACCGAACCCGGGTCTCTCTGTACTGCAGGCTGACGCTCCAACCGCGGAGCCAAACCGTCCAGGGTGAATTGTACACTTTAAATCACTGAATTGTGTGTTATGTAAAATATATCTCAATAAAATGGTTACCAAAAAAAGAAAGTGGTTTCAGAAACTACTTAAATGATGAAAGGAAGATTATATATAAAGAGCTAGAAGTAAGGAGTGAGCACCCCAGGCACCTGTGCCAGCTTGGAAGAAATCGTAGAAACGGGGACTGGATCATTAAAAAGGGATGTGGAAGGCACTTCTTTTAGGAATGGAAAGGAAGGATATAGGAATACATAGATATAAAAGATAGATCAGGTTGCTTTAGTGATTGGAAATGGCAGAGATTCTCTTTTAAGAGAATACTAGCCTGTAATTAATCAGAATTTGATGACTGACCTGAATTGCTAGATGACCTTTTATAAGTGAATCAGTGGCAGAAGAAATTAATGTTTGAAATATTTCTTGTCGGCATGTATTTAACAAAATAAAAATATGCTTTCTCTGTATCACCTTACTTTTAAAAATTAGTTTGTATTCTCTCAGGAAAATTTCGGGCTGATCCAGTGTCAAGAGTATTTGTCATTCTAGAGTAGAAGCATTTAGGTTTTTTAGATATTTTCAATTAAATATTAAAAGTATATGAATTTGAGTGTTCTAGAAATGTATAGATGGTAAAAAAAAAAAAAAAGCTATAATTTTATGACTGTCAAGAAAACAGAAAAATTGTGGGCATTTTTCTTTAATAAAAGGAATTATACAATAGAGTAATCATATCAGCCACAGAATCCTTAATTTTGCATTTGTTGTAATTCCAGCTTTCACACAGAAAAATTGTGTGCATGTGTGCACATGCTCAAATAAAAGAATCCCTTCAGGGGCACTATGTTGTTATGTATCAAGATATTCTCTTTTCTACTTTTCCCCCTCCCCCGCTCCCCTCCCTCGTTGTAAATTGGCTTATTAAAACTGGTTCACAAGCCTTCCTTTTTTCCCTTTGTGATTGCTTTGGTCTTGGATTTTCAGTGTAGGACTAAAAATTCAAGTCAGATTTCAGTTACTAGGATAATTTTCTTTGAATTTAAATTTTTCTAAGTAAATGCATAGATTTTTAATGAATCTGGTATTCAATGGATTTGCTTTAAATTTAGCTTGAGAGTTAATTTCATGATTGATTTATTAGCCCTTTGAAAGTAAAAAAAGTGGTATCTGTAGTTCATGAAGACTGAAAAACA